AATGTGTAATCCCTTTCCAGCCTACAGGAGAAATAACTTGCTTTTAGTTTATATTTTTGATTGTGTGAGAGGTAGTAGGTGTGGGCAGTGTAACTTACTGAAGATAAACTACGTTGAAGAGAGATCAATTTTGCATTTAGGGCCGGTTCCAGAGCCTATTTAAAATTGGGCCCCTTAAACATGTCTTAAATTAGGCACCCAAAAATGGAGGTTCTCAAAATCACTTGTCACTCCAGAAAATCTTGACTACATTCTTCTGATGCTCTCTTACATTCTCTACGCTGCTTAAAAGCCACTGGATTTTGATGGTTCTAATTGGAAGCTATTTAGAAAAATACTGTTTCTACTAGGGTTTTCTGTCATCAGTCTATAATTACTATTGCAAAAAGTTAGGTGTTTCCAATATAATTTAAATATTTTGCATTTATCAGGTAAAAGTGCAGTATCTGATCTTGCTTACACAGCATGTTTCAGTGCTGGAAGGTGTGGAGTTAATTCCTTCAAATGTATGAATGTATTAGGTTTTGGTTATTTAAATGGTATGTGCTATCAGTGTCTTGTAGCTTTTGTGTTTTATTAGAGTAGCCTGGAACCTCAGGATAAATGAAATGTAATGACCAAATACAAAGTAAGAGATCTGCATTTGTATTTTTTTAACAATTTATTTAGGAAGTTTTAACAAGCTTACATATCCTTGCCATGTAAATATCAGAGACAAAATAATAATCATTACAACAGTGAGCTTTTGTTTAGAGATTATACAGGAATATAGTAATCTGATCTCTCTCTTTAACAAGGTGTCACCATATTACAGACTGAGTTTCGTTACATTACCCATGACATGTCATCACTAGTGATTTTTATTAAATGGAATGAACTCTCTTGGATCTGCATTTGTAGGACTGGATGATGCTGTGTGCCAAGACAATAGCCCCCTTTTATATTTCGAGGATATATTTTTATATTTCACCTTCCTGTGCAGCATGGAACATGGGTCACTTGCAGATTTAAACTATTATAAATGATGGATTCTCTGTAACTTGAAGTCTTTAAATCACGTTTTGAGTACTTCAGTAACTCAGCCAGAGAGGTTAGGGATCTATTACAGGAGTGGGTGGGTGAAGTTCTGTGTCCTGCAGTGTGCAGGAGGTCAGACTAGATGATCATGATGGTCCTTTCTGACCTTAACGTCTATGAGACTGAATGCAAATAGAAAGACTCACATGGACTTCAGTGGCGTTTTAGATCAGGTTCTTCATTTGAAAAGTGGTGAGATCTGTGGTCATTCATATGACATAAGAATAGAAGAATGGCCATACTGGGTTAGACCAAAGGTCTGTCTAGCCCAGTAGTCTGTCTCTGACAGTGGCCAGTGCCAGATGCTTCACAGGGAATGAACAGAACAGGTCAATTTCGAGTGATCCATCTCCTGTCATCCACTCCCACCTTCTCGCCGTTTGAGGATTAGGGATACCCAGAGCATGCTGTTGCATCCTGACCATCTTGGCTAATAGGCATTCATGGACCTATCTTTCAGGAACTTATCTAATTCCTTTTCAACCCCAGTTACACTTTGCCCTTTACAATATCCCATGGCAATATCCACAGGCTGACTTGGCATTATGTGAAGAAGTATTTCCTTTTGTTTGTTTTAAACCAGTTGCTTATTAATTTCATTGGGCGACCCCTAGTTCTTGTGTTATATGAAGCAGGTAAATAGCACTTTCCTATTCACTTTCTCCATACCATTAATGATTTTATGGACCGCAATAATATCCCCCCTTAGTCGTCTCTTTTCTAAGATGAAAAGTCCAAGTCTTTTTAATCTTTCCTTGTATGGAGCAGCTCCATACACCTAATAGTTTTTGTTGCCTTTCTTTGTACTTTTTCAAATTCTAATCTTTCTTGAGATAGGGTGACCAGAACTGCACACAGCATTCTAAGTGTGGGCATATCATGGATATATAGTTCCATTATATTTCCTGTTCTATTATCTATTCCTTTCTTAATGATTCCTAACACTGTTGGCTTTTTTGACTGCCACTGCATATTGAGCAGATGTTGCAATGATTTTTTTCCAATGTGCATTATTTTGCACTTATCAGTATTGAATTTAATCTACCAAAATGTCCCCTAGTTTTGTGAGATCCCTTTGTAACTCTTCTCAGTCAGTTTTGGACTTAAATATCTTGAGTAATTTTGTATTGTCTGCAAACTTTACCACCTCACCGTTCGCTCCCTTTCCCAGATAATTTATGAGTATGTTGAACAGCACAGATCCCAATACAAATCCTTTGGGGACCCTGCTATTTACCAATTTATCAATTGTGAAAACTGACCATTTACTTTGTTTCCTATCTTTTAACCAGTTACAGATCAAGCAGGGACCTTGTCTCCTACCCCATAACTGCTGTGACAAAGTGCCTCCTCGACCTTGGTGGGTCCTGCGCTTATTGGCAGATTTGCTCGCTTCACAGATTCCTGTGGGTCAGGAAACAGTCCAGAGACCTTCCCCTCTGGTAGAAGCTCTAGTCCAGGTCAATTCCTCCTGTGTTTGATTAGGAGTTGGGAGGTATGGGGGGAACCCAGGCCCGCCCTCTACTCCAGGTTCCAGCCCAGGGCCCTGTGGACTGCAGCTGTTTAAAGTGCCTCCTGGTACAGTTGCACGACACCTACAACTCCCTGGGCTACTTCCCCATGGCCTCCTCCCAACACCTTCTTTGTCCTCACCACTGGACCTTCCTCCTGATGTCTGATAACGCTTGTACTCCTCAGTCCTCCAGCAGTACGCCTACTCACTCTCAGCTTCTTGCACAGCTCTTGCTCCCAGTTCCTCTCACACACTTCCTCTCCTCTAGCTCCCCCTGGCTTGACTGGAGTGAGCCCTTTTATAGCATCAGAGGGGCCTTAATTAGAGTCAGGTGCTTAACTGCCTCACCTGACTCTTAGCAGGTTAATTGGAGTCAGGTGGTCTATTAGCCTGGAGCAGCCCCTGCTCTGGTCACTCAGGGAACAGAAAACTAGTTATCCAGTGGCCAGTATATCTCCCTTCTGCTACTCTGCTGTTCCCAACTGGTCTGCGTCTATCACACTGCTTAGTTTCCTTAAGAGCCTTTGGTGAGGGACCTTGTCAAAGACTTTCTGAAACTCCAAGTACACTATATCCTCTGGATCACCCTTGTCCACATGCTTGTGAAATCTCTTAAAGAATTCTAATAGATTGGTGAGGGATCACTTCTCTTTACAAAAGTTATGCTAACTCTTCCCCAACATATTCTGTTGATCTATGTGTCTGATAATTTTGTTCTTTACTGTATTTTCAGCCAGTTGGCCACATGCGAGAATAAGCTGCATGTTCTAGGTCCAGCTTCTGTGAAACTCTACCTTCTGCTTTCACAAGCCTCACCGTTTTGGTCAACAGTTTCATTGGAACGTTCCTGTCATGGGAGGTCATTATCATGGAGGGATAAGTGATCTCTCTGGTAGCTAAGGCCAATCCAATAGAGGACTTTGAATATGAGGATGAATCCTTGAATTGAATTCCCTATTCAAGGCAGAGAGCAGAGTGCTCGGGTAATATGTTCCTGGTGATCTGTGCTGCTAGGTAGACAGACCAAAATAGGTTCATAGAAGGTAATAAACAGGAATGCTGGCTTTGATTCTTTAGAGTCACACATCTTTTTGTAACTACTAGAGGGACATGATTAAGTTAGATGGGTTTGGGAACACTAGTGAGAGGAGGCACAGACCAGAGGAAGAAAGTACTTTCAGAATGAAAATATATTGTTTTGATTAGTTGTCAAGTCTGTCTTTTCTTTTCTTTTCTCCTTCCTGCCCATTGAGCCTTCAAGTAGCAGTTATATAGTGTGTCCCCGACTACATATTTTCTTACTGAATTTATTTCTCTTTTCCTGCGCTCTTATGGAAAATAACTGGTAAACTGAAATGCTATAAGAGAGGTAGAGGGCAAGAGTGGGTAGTAAAAGAGCATATAGTCCAAAAACAAAAGCGTTGACAAAAAACAGAGTCACTACAACTTTGTGCTGCATAGACAGGGATCACTGAGCTGGGAGGTGACAGCTGTTCTCTGTTTGGTACTGATGAAATCACTCCCAGATTACTGAGTTTTAGGTACCTCAGTACCTGAAAGAAGAAGATAAGGTAGAGGAAATTCCGGAAAAAGCAATAAAAATTGCTAAAAGGATGAAGGAATTGACTTGTGATGAAAGAGTAAATTAATACATATAACTTGTACAGATGAGTAAAAAGGCAAATATTATGTTACCACCCAGTATTCAAAGGGTGTAAACACGAGTGAGCAAGATGAATTGTTTAGAGTGGTCCACGGTTATCTAGTTCGGAGTAATGGGATAAATAAATATCATGGTGATGGGCTCTTTATAAATACCTAGACAAAAGCAAAGGACAAATTACACTGAATATAAGGGAAATCTCCTAACTGTTAGTGTTTATTTGTATTACTGTAACACCTGGGAACCCTAATTATGGACCAGGACCCCGTTGTGCTGGTGTTGAACAAAAAGACAGCTCTTAGCAGTGATATCTATGAGATGTGCCTAGACTATCCCAAGGGAATGGTGGAAGGCCTTTCTTCTACTGGAGACCTTAAAATTTATATTGGCCAAATTACTGGAGAATAAACTCTAAAAAGCAGAATACTAGCTAGAGGATGAGTAGGTGATCTAATGAGTCTTTTGTGTCTCTGATTTCTCTGCTATATCACACATCCTCATGTCCTGTATTTGTTCTTCATCTGACCTGCTAAATTAGATTCTTAAGAATATTGTATTTATTTTTACTCCAGATATTTATTAATATTTAATTGTTTTCATGCTCCATCAGAGATGCATACAATCCAGAAAGATAAACTGTATTGTTTTTCTTTTCATCTAAATCGCCATTTGAAACAATTTCTTCATAACAACAACCATACTACTATTTAGTGTTTAGAATAATGATGTTTGTTCTTCTCTGTGTAGAATGCCCTTCCTCTGCTTGGATTCCATTTAGAAGTAGCTGCTATATTTTTCTTCAAGGCACATTCGATGAATTGGACAGTATTGATGATGCCAGAAATCTCTGTAAAGGCAATGGTACTGTAATCCATCTCTTTTATTTCTGATGCATTATTAAGAGATATGTACTGTGGTTGCATTTAATGAAATAACTGTATTATTTTAGGACATTATTGTTATTAAACAAGCTAAAATAATAAAGGTAAATAAACATCATTTTGGAGAACCCAAGGGGATCAGGAAAGAAATTTCCCCCTTATATGGCAGAACGTTGCACATTTGGCTAAAGGCATTGTTTTGTCTTTCTTTGAAGCACTAAGTACTAGTTACTCGTCTGGTCTGATCCAATACAGCCAATCCTGTGTTTCTGGTGATTTCAGCAGAGTTTTTACTGTCACCCAGGACTTACTCAATAGTCAAAGTATGGTAGTAGAGCAACTACTTTTTTAATACTTCACCTCAATGGATGAGCTTCCAAATGTTCTTCAAGTTGTACTGGTGTTTATCTGAGAACGGAGACTGCAGTGGCAATCAGATACTCTGGAAACACTACCATATCCTTGTTAGACAAGAGATTACCACAATTTTTACTGCTTTTCCCTAACAGTAAAAAATCATAGACGTAGATTTAAAATTTCAGTCTAGATTCTTCTTTTAGTCATGCTGTGATGCATGGCAGAGGAGGTGCAAGGAGTTGTCCTTAATCCCCTGCCCAGCCCCATCCCAGCCCCCATTCACAGCTAGGCAAATTCATGGTACTGCTCTTGGGACAGGAAGACCAGCAGAGTCTAATGAAGACACAGGTGTTGTTGGATTCTCCTGTGGGGAGGGAAAGAGAAACCATTACTCTGCCAGCTAAGCCGAGCTCATGCTGCACTCTGTAACATGGTGTAGTGGGCTTTCCTCTGCAGCATTCCCAGAAGCATTGTGCCTGCCTCATGTATTGTTGCCAGAACGTGCATGTCCACATCCTCTCCTTGCCACAGGGCGAGGACTTAAAGCCACAGACCAGTAATAGTTCCTTCTTCTAAAATACCATCATTTTCTTTCAGTGGTAGTGAAAGTAAAAAAATATAAACTGAACTGACATCTCCACCATTGTAACCTGGAATATATGGTTAAAGAGACTGTCCATAATTGCTTGCATATTATATCACTTATTCCGTAGGGACATCATTTATTGTTTGTTTGTTTTAAATGGAAGATTACTTTGGTTTTCTTTCCATTTTTGGTTCAGTCATATACTTGCTAATGGGAATGGGAAAATTCCCAGTGGCTTCAAATGGAACATGATTAAGGTTACAATTTTGTCATGGATATTTTTAGTAAAACTCATGGACAGGTCACAGGCAACAACCAAAAATTCACAGGAGCATGACTTATTCCTGACTTTTACTAAAAATATCCCTGACAAAATGGGGAGGAGGAAGGTCCATCACCCTTCCTCACTGAATGCAGCGGCATGGAGCTGAAGCCCCCCCACTCCTGCCCCATGCCTGGAAGGCACCCCTGACCATGGGACTAGGAGCTGAGGGGGCCCCCCAATGCTGCAGCTGAGAGCTCTGGGGGGGTCCTCCGCTGCCGTGGCAGCTGGGCTTCTGCGGGGTCCCAATGTCACGGAGGTCACGGAAAGTTACAGAATCCGGGACCTCAGTGACATTCTGGTAGCCTTAAATATGATCAGCTATTCAACATTTTTTTTTAACATTCAATTTACTATTCTGCACTTTATTTTATATTAAGTCTTATTTTACAATGGAAAAATCAGCTGAGCACTGACAAGGAATTTCTGAAGCAGAATGCAGTTCCAACTTTTAGCTATTTCAGAGTAGTGTTTATGTATTAAACCAAAAGGTTTGGGCTTATTTATGTGTATGTGAAGATCTTTCCCATAGCTCATTAATATTTTAAAGAGATTTGTATTGCAAACAGCATGTAAATGATATGATGATATTGTAAGTAACAAAAAAGCTTAAATTTTTTTTTCTTTTGAATGATCCACTGGTAGTCAGAATATTCAAATTGAGTACAAAATCTGAGACACATCAAGGGAAAAAGAGACTATAAATCAACTCTTTGATCTAATTAAATTATCTAAATTGTTTAGATTTTTTTTTCAGAGTACATATTTAAATGTACCTGTGTGTTTGCTAACATCTTAAATGGCATTTATATGACACTATGTGAATGCATTGTATATCCTGTCAGTCTGTCATTGCACTGCTGAGATGTGGTTAATGTATGTACACGATTGGTTACTGGGTTGGTCAGTATGTTAAGATGCTTTTAATATAGTATTTATAGTTGTTTCACTTCTGTTGCATGAAATGTGCTTTCAAACTTAGATTTATAGGGGGATTTTTTTTTCAAATACAGCTTCTGGAGCAGACATTATTAGTATAAAAAATAAAGAGGAGAATACCTTTATACAAGAAACATTCAAAAATCACTGGCAAGGCCCTGATTATATTTCATTGGGCATGTTCTTTGACACAGATGGTAAGTGAGAACTACCTTGTTGATAACTTAATACTTTGTCTCTATTAATTGCAGAAAATGCAGGTCTTTATGGTGAAATTATTAAATTATACGACAGTCTCTGTTCAGTTCTTATTGAAAAGGTGTCCACATCCAAAAAAACACTTGCCATGCTAATCAGAACTGTTGTTGGCGATATCTGGGATTGAATGAGAACAGACACGTAACTAATCTCTCAGCCCTAGATAGTCCCTCCAAATCAGGGTTGAGACATGTCAGTAGAGGACTATATGGAAGCTTGTATTGCTGCTATCTGTGCTATACCTGTGTAGAAGATAAATATAGGATTATCTCCAGATCTCTCAATCTGACAATTTTGACAAGCCCAATATTCATTTTCACAGATGATGGTTACAAGCATCTTTATGTGGTGTTTGTGTAGTTATAGAAACACTCTTGCTTGCTTTTCTCCATTCACATCAATAGCTAAAAAAACTGTAAATAAAATTTGTCCTTTTGTATATACGTACTAATTTCAGATACACTATGTAAATCTGAAGTAACAACATTGAAATTAATGGATTATTTTGACTTTACAGATCTGAGAACAGAATAGAGATCTTGAATCATAGAATTGTAGGACTGGAGGGGACCTCAAGTGATCATCTAGTGCAGTCCCCTGCACTCACGGCAGGACTAAGCATTATCTAGACCATCCCTAACAGATATTTGTCTCTTAAAAATCTCCAATGATAGAGATTCTACAACCTCCCTAGACAATTTATTCCAGAGCTTAGCCACCCAACCATTAGGAAGTTTTTCCTAATGTTGCTGGATTTATTATTCCCATTATACAGATGGGAAATTGAATAACAGGGAGAAAATGTGACTTGCCCCCAATGTCACGCATTAAGTCTGGCAGGAAATGTAACCCACATGCCAGAGCCAAAGTTTGGCACCTTAATCATGAGACCAACGTTCCTCCTCTGGACTTCCTAATACCAGGATTCTCACTGTGTCCCTGCAGGGAAAATATTCATTTTTGTCAGGATTCTTTTTATCTCCCCCTTTGCTGCGCTTATTTTCTTTGGTGGAAGCTTCCATGAAGATACTACAAACCTCAAAACTCTCTCTGGGCTGGGACACAGGTGTGTGACTTCTGTTCATGATACAATCTACAGGTTCCATGCTGTGGATTATCAAGTCAATTTCCTACATCAAGGAGAGTTTGACATTATTAGTTATTTAGATTAATGATCATTCTGATGTCCCTAGTCCTAAAGGATCATTCTACTGGTTTTAGGAGTTTTGTAAGTTAGCGCAGGCTGAGGACAGGCTGCAGGCTGAGGACAGGCTAAAGACTGAGCTTGTGATCTGGAAAATAGTGTATATTAACGAGCTCCTGGTCTTGGCATAAAATCCTTCCCATGCTCACAAAGGGGAAGACAGGAAAAGCTTCAAAGCTAATATGTAAGCAGCAGTGTAAACAATTTGTGTAGAAATTATAATCTTGCTATGGCATGCAAAAGGATGGAAGCCCAGCCACATGGCTAACATGACTGAATATGCATCATGAACACAAAAGGAATGGTCTCTAGGAAAGACAGATGTTTGAACCCAAACTGACAACCACATATGATATCGTCCAAGAGAAATGAATATATTCTTTATGAGAAAGGAGCAGTAACAAGTGTCCTGAAACATGGTGATCTGGCCCAAATGTCAGCCTGGTGTATGTTGGCAGAATTTCTCTTGTCCAAGAAGCTCTTGAGAGTATATGTTGGACATGAACTGCATCTCTCACTGCACTGCATTTGATGCATGTTGCCAGGATGCAGCCTGTACAAAGTACCAAGAAATAACTTCAAAATGTTCCGTTTTCTTTTAAATTCAATTATTTCGTTTGATTTGTAAGTGTGAAAAACTGTTTTTGCATGAATGACATAATGTATAATTCCTTCGATCACAGATAATGCTTTTAAATGGTTTGACAAGTCGGAAATGAAATTTACCAATTGGATTGAAGAGGAGAGCAATGAGGAACTCCTGAACACATGTGCTTCTATGTACACTAAGTCTGGGGAATGGAGAAAAATCAGTTGTGAAGATCTTCCTCTGACAGGGACCCTTTGTAAAACAGCCTGTAAGTACAATGTGAGTCTACATCACATGACTCTCTCCTTTTTTCTCTGTACATACAGGCGCACACACACACACACACACACACACATTTTAAACTTTTGATTATGACAGAGTTACAATAATACATTAACATACTACACTGTACATTACTTGTTCAGGATCAGGTTAATATTCAAAGAACGTGGCATTTTGGCTTGCTAGCTTGGGAGCCCTCCTCTGAGTGCGCTAGAAAAGATGACCAAATTTCTAAATACCTGTCCTCTTTTTGGCACTTCTCTTTTGTACATACTTGGTGTGAAGGGGTCATATTTTTTCCAGTAGTGTGCAATACAGAGTCTCGCTGCTAACAATAGAAAATAAATAATTTGTCCTTTGTTTAAAATGTAGATCCTCTACAGGAGCATTCAGTAAACGTGTCAGGGGATCTCCAGGAAGCTGGCATTTCTTTAAATTCCTCCCAAAATTATATCATTCCTAGACACAACCACTACATGTGCAAGTATGTTCCACTTTCCCACAGAAAACCCCTCTAATAGCATCTCTCTAGCAGATGGATCTTACCTGGAGTCAAATGCCATCTATACAATAATTTATACAAATTTTCTTTATGAGCTACCCAAATTAAAGATGTATATCCCCTTTCCCATGTATACATCCAGATTGATTTCTTTGTCCAAATCCTTCTCCTATCTTTTCATCTGGGTTGTTTTCTTATCTACATCTTTTTCCATCAAAATTGTATATATCTTAGAAATTAAACCTTTTGTTCCAGCTTCCTCGTGGGTCAGCTCCTCAACTGTGGTTGAGGAGCTCTAATTAGAGCTGCCTTGTATCCAGATTTAACAATACAATGTTTGACTTGTAAATACTGAAAATATGGTATCGTTATATTATTTTCTATATTGCATACCGTTGATATGATTTCAAATCAGGACTCAGGAACAGATGTCTGAATTCAGTAATCTCAGTTTTTATCCACAATTAATAGACACTTTTGTATTTCTTTGGGATAAATTCCTGATTGATAATGGAAATAGCTGAGAGAGAGAGAGCCTTGGCAACAAGAATTTAGAAAATTTGTCCCAAACCGCTATGGTGGTCTGGAAGAATGGGTGACTTTTTATTTTTGGTGATTTAAATTTCTTTCTGACTCAGCAACTACTATGAATAGCTGTATTTGGGCTCCATTCTTGTTTGAGTTTTATGCCCTGTTTGGGTGTTTATTGTTAATCTAGTTGATCACGTCTTTTAACTGTAATGTATAACAATAACATGCCAAATTAGGGAAGCTAGTCCATCCCATTTTGTAGGTTTATACAGAACTTTTTGAAATCACCCTTTGTCTTTTATGTTTCCTTGTGCATTTTAATAAAATATCCTGCCATGTTTCTAATGTCATGTCAGGGATACCAACAGGGATGCACTGAAACAAAAATAACAACTTTTGAAGGACATTTATTTTTATCAAGGCTATCCTGAGTAGCCAAGAAATTTTGTTTGTTCCATTCCTCCAAGTGTTTTATTATATTATTCCACACTGGAGGGTAATTTCACTTAAAGAGATTTTTTTATGTTTCTCCACAATATTTACACCTACACATTTTAAAGATTCCTTTACCCATTTAAATTTATGTAGCTCACCACAGTTTGTTTTGAGCTTTTGGGAATATTAATTCATAAAATTTCAGATTTATTGTAGTTTATTTTGAAGCCTGATACCTGCCTAAGTTCCAAAGTCAATAGTTATATAACTTTTAACAAGGCTTCTGACTCCTGCGAATATAACAGGACATTGTCCACGTGCAGAGCTATTTTGTGTTCTAATCCAGAAGATGTTTTGATGCCCTTTACCCAGGGGCTACTTCTTACCTTTATTGCAGGGCTCTCAAACTCAATTTACCTGAGGGCCAGTGCCAGTCCTCAAATCCTCCCAGCAGGCCAATAATGTCACTAAAGATGGTGTTCAGAAAAGAAAACGTTTATATTGTATTTTTATTTTGAATTTCTTAGAAATAATAAAACTGTCATACAACTTTATACAATTCTTCGCCTGCCAGAGAGTTTTTAATGTTTGCCAGACACCTGGCAACGCTTCAGTTCTGTCAGTTTTTTGATGTTTGGCCTAGGTGACTGAGCAGTTGAAACCTTCAGGATTGCAGCAAGGTGTGCATCAGATAGTTGTGTTTGGTATTTTGACTTGTTTATATTCATTGTGGAAAAAAGTGACACTGCCTCCATGGTTGACTCTGCCCAGCAACTAATGATACTGCCTCCATGGCTGACTCTGCCCGGTGACTAGTGATGGTATCTCTGTCTCCCCCAGCCAACGGGAGCTGTGGGGGGGCGGCGCCTACAGCATTGCTGGCATCGTGGCTGCATGTGTCTCTCCTCCGCGGGCCGCAATGGGGAGGTTCTCAGGGCTGCAGATGGCCCGCAGGCCGGGACTTTAAGACCCCTGCTTTGTTGCAAATGGCTCCATTGCCAAAGAAAACAACAGCGGGGATAACAAGCAATCCTGACTCATACCCTTTAACAAATTAAAAGGAGGTGATTGATGACCATTAACCAAAGCAGATGCTCGAGGATGAGTATATCGTGCCGACATGCCTCTATAACACTGATTTCCAAAATCTGTCTGAGGTGCTCCCGTTCCAGACAGTCAAAGGCTTTCTCAACATCCAAAGAAAGTAGCACACAGGAAGAATTGCTATAATTAACATTATAGTTAATATCAGAACTCTGAATTGATCAGATATTCCTTTGAACAACAAATCCAGACTGGTCCAGCGGAACATATTTGGGCAAGATGGCACTCAGGGTATGACTGCACAGCAATTAAACACCCATGGCTGGCCTGGGTCGGCTGTCTTGGGCTCTCATGACTTGGGCTGTGGGGCTATAAAATTGCTGTGTAGCTGTTCGGGCATGGGTGGAGCCCAAGCTCTGGGACTCCCAACCCCCTCCATCCCCCATCCCCCCCCCCCCCCCCCAAAGTCTACATAGCAGTCTTGGGCTTCAGGGCTAAAGCCTCATGAGCTCAAATCAGCTCACCCGGGCCAGCTGCAGACATACCCATTATCTGTTTGCTAACACCTTTGCATAAATTTTAGCATCCACATTAATTAAATAAATAGGTGTTATGATGCACAATTGGTAAGATCTTTTCCTTCTTTAGGAATTGCTACAATTGTTGTCTTTCCACAAATCAGGAATCTCATTCCCCTGCAATATATCATACTTTATTTGCCGATTTTAATATGTCATGGAAAATATCATCCAGTGTGACCAGTAGATTTCTTCCTTCAGTCTCCTCTGGAATACTCTTAATCCTTGCTTTGTTCCTGTGTTCTGTATTTTCCATGTCCTCCATCTTTAATTCTGTTTTTTCTTTTCTTCTCTTTTTTCCCCTCAATTATTTGAATTCTTTCATTTAGATTAGTAATGCTGTCCAAGTGCTTGATTAATCCTGTTTCCACATCTTATATTTTCCCATTCATATCATTAAGTTCATTTTTTATTTCTTTATTGTAAGCCTGGAACTCTTCCCTCATCTCCATATTCATCTTTTTTTTTATTTTAACAGCAGGTCCTTCAGGTCAGATAGTGACTGGTCTTTCTCCACCTGCCTTCATAATTTGCTGGAGAGGAAGTTACTCTCTTTAGTAGCCATGTCTTTGTTTTGGAGGAACGGATCTTTATATTGGAAGATCTTTCCTTTCACAGACATCTAGATCTTCTTGTCTTTCCTTCTTGCTAGTTGCTTCTCTCTAAAGATGGCTCTTGCCACACTTCTATTTGTCTGATCTTTCCAGAATGGCCTCTGCCATGCTTCCTTTCCCAGCCACAATAGTACAAGTTATTTTGATTTTTTTTAAATTTTGCTGCACTCACCCCTGTCTCTTTACAGGGTAATGAGGGTCCAGTTCAGTATCTCTGGGCTTGCAGAGTCATTTTTCATATATTCTGCACGCTGATGGCACTGGATTCAGTTGCTCAATTTTTCTCCCACCAAGGCTGCTCTGTGGGACTGGGATCTGCCAGCTCTCTTCACCCTTTTTTTTTTTCTCCTCCTTCTTTTCAAAGATAGCTCCACTGATAGTTACTCAAATTTAAGGCATGCATCTGTGGGCTCAGGGTTCTTTTTATCTTTTTATATCACTTTCATTTATTCCCCCACTGCCGTTTATTGCAGAGAGCTGTATTAAGCCACTATCTTGTTTGCTGCCTTAGCCACACCCCCATGACTATATTTTTAATAATTTTGTTTCACTATATGTTTGGTCTTTAACAATTAATAGACTAGATTTCACAATATGCTTAAAAATAGACTTTAATGGTGCTATAAACAGTTCTTCAAGAAACCCTATTCCTCTCTCTCCTTTGGGCTGGTTCTGGGTTGTTTTCCAGTACTCTGCTTTGGCCAAGGCCTGATTTACAATAAAAAATTTAGTTCAGTTTAGTTACATTGGTTAGGGGTGTGGAAAAATCCATGCCCCGGAGAGGCGTAGTTAAGCCAACCTACATCCCTGTATAGACAGTGCTAGGTGGACAGAAGAATTCTTCCATTGACCTAGCTACCGCCCCTTGGGGAGGTGTATTACCTATGCCGACAGGAGAATCTCTCCCATCAGTGTAGACAGTGTCTACACTGAAGTGCTACAGCAGTGCAGCTGCATCAGTACAGCTGTAGCATTTTAAGTGTAGACAAGCCACAAGTCTTGTGGACTATAAAAGCTATTGTTTTTCTGATTTACTAATAATTATCTGAATTATTGACCCCTTGAATAGCTTGCAGAGAGAATTTATCTAAAGTTCTAGAGGAGTTAATCACATGACTGCATATAATTTCAGTCTAAGGGAAGCCACAGAGAAGGAGTGTTCATGCTTATGTTAGAGATCTCGCTGTAGCCTTGCCCTACCACTACTGTCAGGATGTCTGTTCGTGGGTGATCCTTTTTTGTATAGTAGTTCAGTTTTCTAGAAGACAACACAATATATCTAAAAACATGAGTTTGCTGTGTTTCTGTCTCAAAATCCTTATTGAAGAACCATATATTAACAGGAATTACAATAGCCTCTAATCCACTACAATGATGATGCATTGTGCTGCGGTTAGTTTTAGAAACATAAGTTATGTGGATGTGGAACCATGTAGATGCATCACTGTGTTGTGGCGGGGGGGGGGGGGGGAGGTTCAGTGTTGACACTTGGCAGCTATGTTTGTTGCAACCAAGTCAGATGAGCATGTCACAACCTGGTTATAAAAACAAAGTTGTACTTGCAGGATCCTAGTCCTCTTCTCTTACCAGTACAAATTAGGAGTAACTGTTGAAGGCAAGGCACTTCTCTCATTCATCAGGGTAAGAATAAGGCCCTTGGTGTAGATGGAAGCCACAGTGACTTGACTGAGAACATAGAGGAGCCAGTCACAGAAGTGATATTAGAGTCTGGCTCCTTGTTTCACACTTAAATGACACCTCCCCTCATCCACACTTATGTTACCTTATTCTGCATTTTCTGTTAACTTCATGGACATCGGCATGAGTGGTGGGACCATCGTTTTTTTTATTAATACAGTTACGTAAACTTTTTCCTGTGAGAATGCATTCTTCCCTCAATTACTTACACATCAAAAACTGTGATGAAAATTAACTTTCTTTGAAAATAGTAGTTTATTCCATACAAACATGAAACAAGCTAAACACCTAATTTTAAATCTTTTTTTTCTTGTAGTTGCATATGAAAAGAAGTACTTACCAGGTGAGTGTTTGCATACCTTTGCTTGAAGTTTACAAGCATTTTATGGATGTTATTCACTGCCCCACTCACTTGCTTCCCAACTCCCACCTCCAAAAAAGAAGACAATGTATTTCTGCTGGTTATAGAACTAAACATCTTGATTTACTTGTCTATTACCTTATTTTGGGTGATGTGCATACATATTATGTCAGCTGATATTCTGTTGCTATAGTATTAGATTAAGCTTTCACAAGGAAGGGAAAGAGCTTTATTACCTATATTAGAACTTCAAAAGGCAAGAGGTTAGTAAAATTCCCACTGCTAGTAGAGAGGTAGGTCAGAGTTGCACAGATTATGAAATTTTTTTAGCTTGCTTTGGATGGTTACTCGTGTTTATCTCTTAGATGTAAAATAGATAAAGGAATAAACCGATATTGGGTTACCATATGTCTGGGTTTTCTTGGATACAACCGCTTCTTTTTTTAAAATTCTTTTTCAAATAAGAGGCAGTGTCTGGGATTTTTGCGGGCAGACATTGCAGCTCAGAAAGAGCTGTCTCCACGCCCTGATTGGTCTCTTCCCTGCAGCCACAGCTGTCAGATCCCACCCAGCTAGGCCCCAGCGTCCATCCCTGGGGAGGGGGAGAGGCCCCAAGGCAGGTGCTGACTGATAGCTGCCTCTATCCTGGGCCTGCATCAGCACGCTGAGAGGGAGCGATGATGCCCCCAACCTTGAGAGTGAGGCTGCAGGTACCCCCTCCAGCTTCCCCCAGGTACCCTCCCAAGTACACATACCCCTCCAACATCCTCCCAAATACCTCCTCCAGCTCCTCCTCCTCCCCCCCCCCCCACCTTCGACAGTGTCCTCTTTTTTGGGAACCTGAAATATGGTAACCCTACAGTGATAGGAATTCCCTTTTTCTTTATCAAACCTGCAGCTGTTATGACTAACCCCTAAAGGGTTTGTTCAAAGTAACAAGTGGAGCCTTATCCATCTCCCTTCCTAGACACAACTCTCATCCTGTCCTCTGCCTAGTTTCTACCTACCTCCTCCATTTGCTAAATCATCTGAGAATTCAGAATGTACTAAAATTATTCAACCTAAAACATAAGGATGGTCTTCAGACCAGAGGATGAGGGAAGCAGATCTCTAGGGTTATTGGCTGTACGTGTTCACAGATAACTAAGGTGCTTTTCAGGCCCCACCTGCACTTCAAAATGGATTGTGTTTGGAAACTGCTTTTAAACTCTGTCATAAAAATGACTTCAGCTGACATGGTTGTGTCACCACTATGAATAGGCCCCAACAGGTTAACAACATTTTAAAAAGAAACACTTCAAAATTATACCTTCATCCATGTGTGGCACAAATAGGTGTGAGCTGAAACCATTTTTGTAACAGGAAGCATTTTTAAAAACACAACATGGCATCCTGTGTACTTACACAAGCCTTAAATTAAGGGGTCAGGAACAAATGTCCCTTGCTGGAGCTAGCCCTACTACTTGTAAGAGTAACTAGTATGTAACTTAACTAGTCCTAAAGATACATATTCAGAACTAGTTTATAAATATCTGTTACTTTGATTGACCAGTTCCATATAGGGTGACCAGATGTCCCGATATTCAGCTGTTTGTCCCGCATCCCGATGGATGTATTGTCGGGACCGATATTTGGCCTCAGTGGCACTCCGGCTTTTTTTTTGTTTGTTTCGGCGGTGTCTTGCCCCTCCATGTGTCCCGATATTTAGTTTTTGTCATCTAGTCACCTTAATTCCATAACTCCAATTATTTTACCATTTTAGCAGAGTAAGATTTTCAGTAGTGCAATACAAGAGAGGGCATCCCTATCTGAGCTCATAGTAACCTCTTCAAGTCAGGAATCAACCTTACTTTTATCACATAACCCCCGGGACACTGAGTTCATTTTGTTCAAAAGAAATTTTCAGTTTTCTTTATAGTCATCTCAGTGAAATATTTGCTAATTGGATCAATATTGAGTTAGGAGGCCTGTAAAACAATTAAAGAAAATGGAGAAAGCGACTGCCTTAGAAGATAAATTGCCTCATGTCTGTGTAAGTTTTCTTGTCTGCCAAATGTTAACCCACTCTTACCTGGTGGCAGTTAATGTCCCATTTTAACAAAATAGCATAAGGTTCATATTAGTTAATCAAAACTAGAAATGTAATGTTCTTAATAGAAATTAACGTTTTTTAAATAAGCTACTTTTTCTCCCTTTAAATCTGAATAGCTTATCACTTTATACAAAACAGAAATCCTCTGTTATCAGTGGAGGTTTTGAACTAAATGGTTAACATAAGCTTGAATGGAGTATTTCTGAAGCATCTGGATTGATTCAGAATATTTTCCTCTGAAACCAATAGAACCTTCCTATGGAATGAGTAGTTTTGCTCAAAAATGTCTGGGTCACTGCTCATTTCAATTGAACCAAACCATTGCTGTAATCAACTTTCTGAACTAGTTTAAATTTTCAATAATCAAAGGCACTAGTTTTTCCTGAGCCCAAAGGATGGAAGTCACCCCTTCCAACTCAGCTGCAAGTTCTAATAATCAGGTTTTGTGTAGCTATTTCTGTGGGGAATAGAATTCACATGGGTGGGTTTAGGCAGTAGTTCTTTTGTCACTGGACATGACCACTGCCATATCCTCTCCTTACACCTTTGTAAATCTGGAGTAGCTTCCATTGACCTGGGTGGAGTTACTCTTGATTTACACTGAGGTGAGGGCTTAATATGGATCTGTGTAATCATGAGTCTAAATTCCCCTTGTCAGCTGGTCTATTCAGAGCTTGTGCGGATACTCCTTCCATGGCAGGCTCTTGGAGCCACTTAAACCTCAAGTAGGCAATAAGGGGAATGAAAAGAAAGACTGATCACCTTTAGGCATACAACAGCTCCATATTTTCTTGTATTTTCACAGTATTTGTGACACTTAAGGGTAAGTTCTATTCTCATTCCTTGACTACTGCAGATTCTTTCTGTTTGACAAGAAAGGCATAGGATCAGTGGGTGCTAGTCTAATTTTTTTTTTAACCCCACATTGTATATGAGGAGCAGGTTTTCCTACAATGAGCACTAAGCAGTACATTCTAAATTGAATTTCCTGACACCTGTAAATGTACAATTTCCGCAAGTAATTTCCCCCTGAGAGAGCAGAAAAATACCACAAACTGAATGCTAACTTGTTCTTCCATTATGTTTGCTCCACGCTTGGGATTAAATTAATCCCTTGGGAAAAGGCACAGTTATAAAATACTTCTGCCAAAATGAAGTAAATTCATTATTTTAGTGATGTGTAAAGTGCGAGGCCTAGAGTAGTTCATCCCTTTTTGACCTCAGAATAAATATTTATTTGGTTAAAGAATTCTGGAAAAGGAAGAGTAGAAACTGGGATTTGAAAAGAAGTCCCAACAGTTGGAATTTTTCTAAGCAATTAAATGACAAAAAAAAGTCAACTAATGAAGACAGACTAGATTACAAGAAAGGAAGTGCTAATGGTTTAGGATGTTTGCCAAATAATCCCAAGGTTTCCATGTGCTGCCACTGAATGCAATTAATTATAAAATAAACTTGATAACTGTGCACTTAATGTTTATATCCCCTTAGTATAAATGCCTTGTGTATGAATGGTCATTTACAAGACTGTCTTCTTTTGTTTCAGATAAAACTGCTTTGACTACCACCTTGGTCATAATTTTTACCATAGTTGTGACAGTTTCTGCAGCATTATTTTGGTTCCTGTACAAAAGAAATATTTCTTCTGGGGTTTTATGTATAACACACCATTCAACAGCTGAAATGCCATACAGTGATGAAACTGTTCTAATAGATGAAGAAAATGAGTATACTGCTTAAAATGTAAAATTATACAATTTTATTTAAATGCCAAAAAGTTACATCTTATCCATATTTAGGCTTCAGTCCTGTAAGCACATGCATAACTTTACTCACATAATAATGTGCTAGTTGTTAGGACACAGATAGAGAAGACAGACTAAAAATAGTCAAAAGTATTTCCCATTGGGCTGTCAGAGTTCATATTCAAAATTCTCTCCAACTGTATTTAGTGCACCTGGAAATACCTGGAGTATGAGTTGGTCCGTCTCAGTGAAGTGTCATTCTGAAAAGAGCAAGCATTTAATTAAATGTTAAGATTTCAAAAATTCCGCAGATTTCCATAACAGGTTTTAAATTCATTTGTTTCATCTGTGTTCATGACTGGTTTTCATTCCTGTGACTATTTTAGCAAATAAAAGTTTGAAACGCTAGCTAATTTTAAATGAATAGTATAGAAAGAAAATTTGAATTTGTGTTTGCACTGAAACCTTAATTCAAAGAACTTCCAGTCAATGCACAGAAATTAGCCACGTGATCTGCATCCAGTCAAAACAGTCTGAACTTCAGACCATTCAGACTCATGAAACTGATTTAAAAAAAAATGCTCTTACCTAAAATGAGTAATTTCAGGCAAAACTTAGCAAATTATCTGCAAACAATTTAAAAGAGGGAGGTGAAATTCCTCAAATTATTTGCCCAGTTCAAATTAGGATTAGAGTCCAAATGTTCAAAAACTCTAATTTTGTATTTGCAGCTAATTGTAGCTGCAGGGTTAAGAGGTCAAGTCTTGGCCCCAGTTGTGCAGATCCTTAAAGATGCATGGAAATCGTTTGGCCTCTGCACAGGAACAGGGGTCTGCTTCCACTGATCCGGGTTTAGCAGCTATCATTTATAGCCATGCTTATTTGATTGCAATATGTAGTCATCCTATTTTTTTAAGGGGGAAACTAGTGGGCAAACTGTTCATCTGGCTAACCTGCAACTGTTTTAATATATAAAACAAAATTGAAAGATCGCTGTGTGCATGTGTACGCTGTTGCCACAACTTTTCTTTTCTATGCTTTAAAATGTTGCATTTTACCCAGTGAGACTGCAAAAAGACCAAAACCTTGTGAAGATTCTCAAGGGAGGTCCGCATCTCTGTGAAGCAAAGGAATTGGTATTAGAGAAGGTAGATTTGATACACACCAATTAAAAGTCGGTAAATGATGTTAATAGCATGATAAGGAACAGAATATTTTTATGTATACAGTATGCTTCCTTCAAAACTTAGTGGAATTAAATCTTAATTTCTTGAGCAAGTAACAGAGGGGTAGCTGTGTTAGTCTGTATCCACAAAAACAACGAGGAGTCCCGTGGCACCTTAAAGACTAACAGATTTATTTGGGCATAAGCTTTCATGGGTAAAGCTGTTAGTCTTTAAGGTTCCACCAGACTCCTCGTTGTATTTCTTGAGCAGAAACTGGATTGGAACTGCAAAGAAATGGAGGCTGACCTTATTCTCTACAGATATAACATAATAGGAGCAGTAGGAAATTTAGTAGTCTCTTTTTTGCAGTTCCTCACCTTCTTAGGTGATATGAGCTCAACTTCTATAGCCACTGTCATATCTCTTCCTCATCAAATCTTGTTATAAAATCTAAATGGCTCAAACATGAGAAAGCTTCATGCCTATTGCTCCAGCCAGTGCCACCTTCCCTGTGTTTTCCCCCACAATGCTGTTTTGCTCCATTCTGCTTCTCTCCCTATTTTCATTATGCATTTGATGTTCCTATTGCACACCAAACCTGTTGTTATGCCTCTTGCTCTTTTTTCACCTGTTGGAGATTTTCTCTGAAGGGATTTTTGCTGCTCTAATCCTTTTGTCTGCTAAAAGGTGATTAAGATACATGATGACATGTTTTAAACATTCCTCTGAGTGGCACTAGTGTGTATGTTGTCTAAGGGCTGAATAGAATGTATGTTGAGGTATTCAGCAATATTCATTCCTCTAGAGTGACCAGGGAAAATTCTCAAGATGCCATTCAAATTTGCCTGAGCCTAGCCTTTAAAAGGACAGCACCTATCCCTAGTGTTAAAGATACTAATCATGAACAAGCAATGCATTAAGTCAGTGGTCCCCAACCTTTTTTGTCTGGCGGGCACCAGATGACGAGCCACGGAGGACCGTGGCGGTGGACGAGCATCTGCCAAAATGCCGCCGACAAGCAGCAACGTCAATAGGCATCGCCACCGAAATGCCACCGACAAGCGGTGTCATCCAAAGGTGTCGCCGCCGAAATGCCGCCAAAAATCGGCAGCGACGCCTCTGGATGATGCTGCTTGTCGGCGGCATTTCAGCAGATGCTCGTCCACCAGCCAGCATGCGGATGCCATGGCGGGGACCCCTGCACTAAGTAATTGAATGGAAGCTCTTCTCTGAGTTTACAGTAGTATAAGCTACTCCTGCACTCTGGTGCAGAGTTGAGACACCCTAGATCTAAGTTTACAGTCATAACCAAAATGGTGTAGCAAAGCTAAGAGCGTTCTGGTTTATGTACAGAAGTTCTGGATCAAGTGACCCACCCTTGGCAGCATTCTCAGCTATACAAACTAGAGCAAGCAAGCATGCACGCACTGAAGGCAGTACTCCAGGTCTATTGATTGTCAAGTCACTAAACAAGAGAAACGTTCTCATATTCCATAGACAAACAGATTAGGGGGATTGTATTAATTAATAGACTAATTTGCCTCTAGGGAGGTTTACTTCTTAAGTTTGCATAAGTGAGCACGATTACTGCTCTGAACCCCTGTATTAAGGGTTCAGATTCCTGTGAAGTATAGATGGGTGCTGTCTACTTTTGCAAAAAAGTCTTAACTCTGGTTCACTATCCCGTGTTAAAACAGTAATGGAGACAATAACTCTGCTATTAACTTGGGTTAGGAACTTTTTAAAGCTTATAGGTGAGTGTGGGGTTGAATTTGAGCTGCTAACTTGAATTAAAAGCTCAGTTGGCATGTCTACACTGCTATCTAAACCCAAGTTAGCAACCTGAGGAGGCTAACCCAAGTTGTTTCTTTGTTTGGAGTGTAGACATACATACCCACAGGCATGACAGCAGTAACTGTGCTCACTAGAGGCAAACTAGTCTATTCAGAGGGCACTACAAAATGTAAATATGTGTAAGCTTCAGCAGTAATGGAAGCTAGATTTTTTTAATTCAGTTAAGCAGGCCCCAAGTAAAGTGAGGTGAAATGGGGGCCTGATCCACCAATGGGCCCAGGCAGAGGGCCACAAGCCCATCCATCACCATGAGAAAAAAATTCAGGCTTTTAGATGTTTGAGTTTGACTAAACATTATTTATATAAATCTCAGTATGTTTGATTGTACCTGTGTATCTATGCAGCATTTAGATCTTGCAATCTACCTGAGCCAATCAGATGCGGTGTTTGAACAGAAGCAACATTCTGAACAGTGAGCTGGTCCTCCAGGGTGCCTAGAAGGGTTGACACACATAACAGTACCTTCAGGCTGCATAGAGGGCATTGGTCACTGGTGTATCCTCAATATTGCCATGTCTGGCTCTAAATACAAATCAGACAGCCAGAAACTCCAAGAGCTTAAAGAAAGGTAAAGAAAAGAAACTGAAGGATGTCAATCAGTGATCTAATTTTTCTAGTCAGACAAGGCCTCTCAACAGCCTGGTTCAAGCAATGCACAAACTGGGAAACCCGATGAAGAAACAGCAATATTGTGGTGATTTCAATATAGAGTCTGTGGAAATTGAAGGACAGCAGCCAGATGAATAGTGATTCCAATCTAATGACTTCCAAAGGTAATCATGGTAATATTACCATCAGACTAAGTTTTCAACAAGCAGGAGAAAGTAGTGCTGCATTTCTTACTGATGCGTGTTGGGGTTCTTTCCCCCCCCCCAATCTTTTTTTTTTAAGGTTCAGGATTGTGGCTAAACACATTAGATTGTTAAGCGAAAAAAAAAATTAGTGTACTGCATTTCTTCAAAATTCAGAAGCTCTGGAAGTCAATACCAAAAGATGTTGATGCCCATAGTTTTCCTGAATTTTTTTCTCAAATGCAAGACTTCGTACAAAAAAAATATATATATTCTGCAAGACTAGTTCAAATCTACTTTGGGGAAGGAACTTGAATTGCCATTACTTATCTTACTTAAGGAGATTTACAACAGAAAAACAACTAATCTTCAGTGAAGTGTACATAGCCTTAAGAATTTTTTGTGCACTGCCAGTGATTGGCAGAAGCTGAAAAAAGTTTCAGCAAGCTAGCACTCAAAAACTGTAGATTATCTACTGTGGCACAGGGAACACTTGCGTCATGTCATTTTGTCTACTGTGTGTGAACTCAAGAAAAAAAATAAATGTAGTAAGATCATTTGTGATTTTGCAATGAAAAAGGCCAAACTAAAGTTGTAAAGTGATTAAGGCCTGTGAGTACCCTTTTCAAAATAAAATATATTTTTCTCTTTCATTAGTGTGTCTGTATAGGATGGGATAGGAGCCTGTGTTATGAATTTGTCCTGGGCCCAGCAAAATGTTGCTTAGGCCTAGTAGGGGAGTCTTGACTGGCCACACCTCCTCCATGGCAGGAACTAGTAGAAGCCATGTTACTAGTCACTTAAAACTTGTTTCAACTACACCTCTACCCCGATATAACGCCGTCCTTGGGAGCCAAAAAACTCTTACCATGTTATAAGTGAAACTGCGTTATATCGAACTTGCTTTGATCCGCCTGAGCGCGCAGCCCCACGCCACTGGAGACGCTGCTTTACTGTGTTCTATCCGAATTTGTGTTATATCGGGGTAGAGGTGTATATACTGTCAAGAACTGGCCTGTATTGGCAGTGCATTTCCTAGATAATCCAATAGGGCAGCTTTTAATCTCAGAATTGGTAGATTCTAGAGTGCTTATGCATATTACAAATTGAGTTTGAAGGAAGAATTCTACTTATAATGGTATAGAACAAGAGATTTAGTTGCAATAGAGGGACTCTCCTTGACCATGTTATGTATCTGTTTCCCTTGAAAAAATAGTAGTAATCTACTCCTTGACAGATGTGTCTAACCAAATGCAGTTGTAAAAAAAGATAGGTAGATATCTGAACCTAGATAATTTTAAGTATCCTACAGAAAAAGGCTCTTTTTCTGTACATGACAAGAATTTATATTCAACCTAACTTCTTCCAAGTTGGTATTCCCAGAGTGGTATTAGTTTTCATACCAGTAAATTGTTCCCCAGGTTATACAGAGAACATTAAGACAGACAGTATGTATGTTACCAGACTTACAAGGTGAGATGTGTAGATCTTGCTACCATGTTAAGTTTAGGAAGACAGTTCTACAATTACCCATGCTTAAAAAAGGAACATTCCAGCGCAGTTCTATGCATCATCTTTATTTATAAAGAAGTGACAACACTAGAAAACACATTGATATAACCAGTGCTTTAACAGTGAATGTGGGATCTAAAAAAGGTTTTTAAACTAAACAGGTCAATTAAGATTTTAAATCCTATCAAGTTGCATTTCTGCCAGGAATGCCAAAATGCAAGAGTTTACAGCTGCAATATTTCCTTAATGGAATATCCACATAATATCAAATATAATCTCAAATTTCCAAATCAGTACATAAAAAAGCCATCATTAACACTTTAATAGTAGAAGCCCCTTGCAAGTTCTTATTGCTATTGAGTTTAACACTCTTCAAATAAAATTTGGAAACTGAACACTGTAGTTTTACAGTACCCATTCATCCTATGTTAACACTGGAAGCAAGTGATTATAAGAAACTACAACATAAGCATTTTTAAAAGGAAAATTTATGCTATAAGTACATGGGTCCCGCCACCCCAAAACGCACAATTACCAGTATAGGAGAAAAACCTGATAGACCAATCCAGCAATCTAATTGACTACAGTAAGACATTAATATAAAGGGAGATATGACTTCCTTAAATATTTAAAATCTACTTTTTCAAAACAAGGCATAAGATCCCATCTCAAAGGGGATACGGTGTTGTATATCTAACTCTTGCACACCTTGCTGAATAGTTTTCAAATTCGTTGTTTATGTTCCGGTATGCAGCAACAGATTGAGTTCAGTAATGCTTTAAAAACTATAGTAATATTCAATGCACTTTCTACTAAAGAGAGCAAAAAATAAATGCATATTGATGGTACTTTCTTGCTAGTTCAGCATCTTTGCAGCACTTCTGTTTGGCTCTTGCAGCATTAAGCAGTGTCAAAACTTCTGCCAGCATCACTGTCTTCGGAATCATCCTCTGAAGCTGTTGGAAGAATATAGTACAATCAAAAGCCTTCTTAAAGGTCTGTAAAATGTAGAATTAAAATTGTTTTTAGTTTAAATGTGAATACAAGAGATTTAATTTAAAACCAAAATTCAGAATTTTCTATTACAAGAATCAGACCAGTCAAGTGCATGTTAAAATGCAAGATTTTCTAAGTTTTAATGCAGGCGCCTAGAAAAATTTATCATCATTTACATGCAGCTGCCATTGGCTTTAAAAAAAAAAAAACCAACCCCAAACACCTGTACCTGCTTAAGCCTGAGTATAAACTGGCCCTTCTTTATGTTGACTAACACCAGTAGATATGGCAGAGAAACACCATAGCAGTGGTGCTTGTGGGGGTGAAAAAAGTCAAAGCGAACAAAATATGTTCAGGTATTTCTAAAATATCTAAAAAGATTCATTATCCCAAACAGAGAGGATACTTTAGAAAATTGATAGTTTTATGAAGCTGTCAGCCATGCTGTGTCATTTATTTTTGCTTCGAAGTAACAATTTTCCTGGTTTTCAGAGATTCTCTAGTACTATGTGCTATAGAAAATTGTGGTAGAAATTTATATAGGGCTGCATGAGAGGGAAACAGAGGAAAGAATACACATTTGCAAACTGAAAAAAATAGTAATGTATTTCTGTGCAACACTCATCCTGACGTGCTCTAAGATGTTTGTGTACACACAGGAATCACTTCCACCACCACCACAGAAGTGCAACCACCTTTTGGGTGAGCAATGCAATTGTATAATTACTTTTCCTTTACTGTTTAGTGCCATGTTAAGACATACTTGCTGAAATTCTTTTCATACTTAAGTGGGAGATAGCTTAGGATCGTCTATATGGAAAACTGTCAGTGTAAGAACTTTGGAACCATCTTGGATAAACCTACTTGCATTCAGGAACAACTTGTTCATGAATAGCTGCAATATAACTAGCTGTGGCAGAATTCAATCAGTATTTATTTTTAGCCTTCCCTCCTCCCCCTATTTTATCAATGTAATACATTTTTCACAGCAGGGCTATAGAGGATTCCCTGCATTGTTGGGGAAACTGGATCTCTGGAAGCGGAGGGTGCAGGGAAGGCTGTGGTGCTGGTGGGACTGAGCAGACATTTCTGGCCAGGACTACAGGGAGGAAGACAAGCCCCCAAGAGTTGGGGAGGTCACCCACTGCTGAACACCTCCTTTCTGGGGAAAACTCTCTCACTCCCAGAAAGTGAGCAAGTGAACAGGGTCACTTCAGTGGGGCTGCAGAGGGCTTGCTGCACACCAATGATGCCACATCCCTGTGGGTGTAAGGTATAGGGAAACTGGCATTCACAGACTGCTATTATTGATTGACATTTTTTTCCATTGATTTCTGTGTCAGGTAAATTCAACATTTACTGATGACTACCAATTTAAAAATTCAATTGTGCCAATCCTAAGTATAAGTTAAAAGGGAAGCCTGGCCTCAATCCTCCCCTTCCCCTCAAAAACTAAATTATTTTGTAAAGACTGGTGAGGGAGAGCATATTTAATGCACAATTTCAGACTCCCAAACTCAACGTTTATGCCAATTGATAAATCACCTGTCAAATTCTCTGCAGATCAAACTCAAGGAGAAACAAGGCTCATTCCAGAATTCATTTGTTCTATAAAAGGACAATTATCTAAATGAGGAATAAGTTATTTTATAAAAAATTCTGGTCACCTTTGTTTTAGAAAAATATTAGCTAGCTAACTAGACCATTACCATATGAAGTCATGCATTTAGGCTCATGAAACTAAATTAGAATTTGTTTCCTGGAGCACAAGCAAAGAACTATCCCTATAGTACTTCGAACACTTCATCTCATGGATGGAAATCATAGTCAGGCCTTATGACCTGTATTACATTTTTCTATAAAAAAAGAGTCATCCATACACTGAGGTTGACAAATCAAAGCAGTCATCAATATCTTTCCAATGTCTACACGTATCAACAAGCAAAAGACAACATTTAGATCCATGCAAGTTTAAACACTAGGCTACGCGGGCTTCTGCCAGTGTAGCCCAGGGCACAGGAATTAGATAGTGAAAAGTTTACCCAGTCGCTATACTTTCACTCTGCTAGAGGTCTTGCAACTGACTAGTGTGCATTACAAAAGCGGGTGCTGACAAACAGAGGCATAGCCAAAATGGTTCAGGTAGGGGGAGCCAGAGAGGGAGAGATGGTCATCACCTGAGCGGTCTCAACTGCAATTTAAGCTGCCTTCCCCTAATAAAACCACTATAAAAAGAGAACAGTCACCACCAAGTGACCACAAACTACAGTTTGGGAACTAATTACTCCAATAAATGAAGACAGGTTAATCTGAATAATTAAAGAATCCTGGTACTGTTATGCACAGGCTTCAATTACAGAGGATAATCTTTCTGGTCTCAAAAAATAAATCCACTCCCCAACAGACTATAAACATATAGAAAAGCTAATTTGAGCCCTTAATCTAGATGCCAATTCACTCCCAACACCCTTCCAGTGTTACATGATGAAATAGCCACTGCTCTATAAACTCACAAGCCAGCTTCAGCACTTATGTTTGGTTCTATAGCAAGCACGATTCTTTTCAGTTTAGTTTCCCTATGTTGGTTTAACCTGAAGTGAAACGAACAAATCTGGAAAGGAAAAGCCACCTACTTTCAATATCTTCCATATGTGCCTGAAGAGTTCTTGCAAGGTTAATAAACTAGAAACAAGGTAAAGAGAAAGTAATTTAAATGTTGCAAAATAATCTGCAGAAACTTGCAACAAGTTAGCACAGAGGTTTGCTTTCTTCTTTAAAAAAAAAGGGGAAAAAATGCATTTTATGCCTTTACCCCAAAGTCCTTTCCAAGGGAGTCACTCTATGCCCTTATCAGCATAAGCCATCAGTACAAAGTTTAAGTTATTTAAAAAAATAAGGCACATTGTATCAGACTATTGTGTAATACCAATTGGAAGTGTGAATCTCCACTGTGTCAAAAAGGATCCTGACAGTAAAGTCAATGGTGTCATGTTCATGCTCTATATTCTGGAAAACATGTCTAATTCAAAAATCAAATATACAGTCAGTTATGGAAATGGGAAAAACTTTAATAAAAGCTATTTGGTTCCTAGTGTTACAAAAATGTAATTTTAATAATAGATAAACCAAATGCAACTTCGTATATAAATTGATCTAATGAGTAATGACTTCATTACATGAACTCATTTCATCTACATTAATCTGAATATAGTGGGATTTTATGGGGGAAGTAGAACCCACTTAACTAAATGATGGTCAGAGAATCTACACTAAAGAACTTATGCAAACTATAATAAATAGAAGGCTTAAAATACAATAAAATAAGTCACTAATTACAACTTTAATGCTTTAAAAGATTAGGGTGGAGATTTTCAAAGCTCTGAGGGAGTTGGGTGCCCAGTTTCCCATTAACTTTCATGAAAATGGGGTATACAGATCCCATGGCACCATTGAAAATCTTAACCTAGATTTTTAGCAATTAAACTGTACTAATTATTATAGTTATAGCTGCCTTCAGAACCACATTCAATACACCATAAATGAACATGACCCTTTGCAGTAGGAGATTAGAGCCAACAAGTTCCCTACTCCAAATGCTTAAGTCTAGGCATACTAGACATGGCCATGTGTTGATAATTTGAAGGTTTCATGGAATAAGTTCACACTTTCTACAGTTTTGCTTCTTGTTAAAAGGACTAGCTTTTCAATAGCTAATTTGCTAAAGAGCTTTTTTCCATTATAGGATACCAAAGAGCTTCTATCTATATAACTAGGTTGCTGCCTGGTCAAAGAATAATTTCCGATGATACTGAATTACTAGTACATCGTTTATTATACTCCTAAATAAGCACCAATTTAAGGATAAATATCCAATCATACGACTAGTATGAGTTTCCTCTAGTTATTTCTTGAATTGCACTCTAAATTGACAAGCTACAATGTAATACAGAAGTTCAAACTAAGGGCCAAATCCTGCAAATGGGTCTTTACAGGTTCAGGCCCTAGTACTATAATAAAGGGATATTAGTGTAGTGTAATATCTTTGAGACTGGTTGAGTACATCTGTGATTTTCATATTTGGAACTGTACATCTTGTACCACTGGAGATTTTGTAATCAGATTTTTTCCAGTTAAGACTTCTCCTCTACGATTTCTGTGAAATTACATTTTAACTTTTTGAACACATCTGTTTTCATTATCATAGCAGACCACCAAAATATTCAATGCCCTATTTATTTTAACCACTAATAGTCTTGTCAGCAAAATACACTTTTATTTTAATACTGCATGATGCAATTCCCACAAAGACAGGAACTATGATTTTATCATTATTACTTGTACAATGGTAGCACCTAGAAGCCCCAATTAAAATCATGGCCCCATTATGCTAGACTGTACAACCACATTTTAGAGATTACAATATAAAGTACACAGGAAATGAGCTGTAAGTGTATGAGCATAGCAAGATAACAACTCACCAAATAACAACCTGAATGTTTATACAAGCAACACCACCCACAAAATGAGACACTCACCCTGACACGTGTGCTGGCCTCACTTGCAGTTCCCAGCATATCAGAAAAGCGTTGTTCACACAAGTGTAACAATACTACAAGGTAGAGACCAGAGCTGATAAATTCATAGTCTGCCTTGAAGGGGATAGGAGAAAAATTCAACAATCAAACTTTTTTGTATACGCAATATGAAAAGCATACCAGTGCCAAGTTTCAATGGTAGTATGCTGAGGGAGGATAACAGATGCAGAGGCTTTAAAATATCTCCTACTACATTTCTGATCTTAGTGCTCCAAGTAATTATGAAATCATAACTAAAAACTGCTTAGGCCTGATCTCAAAACTCATATTCATTCAATTAGATTTTACTCACACAAGAACTTCCATTGAAGTCAATGGGAGTAGTCTAGGAGCAAAGATTTGAGGATCGGGGCTTTTTTTTTTTTATGGCTTAAGCAGTCTTTTTCATAGATCCCAAAACTATTAGCTCACTTCAGTGCTGAATAGCAGAAAGCAAAAATGCCCTCTAACCTCTCTTCTCCCAACTGGAGAGAGCCATTGAAAGATAACAGGAAAAATGTATGCAACTTCATCCAGTAAGGGGGGGAGGAATGGGGGAAAACTAACTTTCAATAGTTAATGATTAATGGCAGAGAAAATAAAGTTTTAAAGTAGGGTAATACAAAAGAACTTGAAATGACTAGTGTAGCAATTACTGGCCCAACTTCTGTTGGTGAGAAAGACAAGCTTGAAAGCTTTGTCTTTCTCACCAACAGAAGTTGGTCCAATAAAAGATACTATGTCACCTACTTTGTGTCTCTAATCTCCTGGGCCTGACAAGTCTATAACTACACTGCATACAATAGTGTTGCAATAGTTTTTTTTAAAAAGAGTCAGTTCCTTAGGAACAAATTGCAAATCCCTTACTCCCACCAGCAAGCAGTTACTCCAGGTATAGTCCCACTGATTTCAATTAGACTAGTTCTGTGAGTATCTGCTAACCGATGCAAGTAGTACATTCATGATCTGGCCCCAAGTGACTGGATTCTTATAGTTATTTAAAAGATTGTGATTTTTTCCTCTTGGACACCCACATAGATGTCTAGGTTGAGATCTGATTCAGAGTACACATAATGCAAACCTCAGCTTTCAATTTTCTTGTTATGCATAAATTGGGTCATGTCCCCCTTATGTAACAATTATGAAATTTCCAGATTATTGGAAACTTAAGTTATTTGAACTTATTAATATTATTCACATAACTGAGGTTGTACTATATTCACAAAGGTAAAGTTCCAAGCTAAGAGTGTAGGAAAATCCTTTGAACAAAATTTTGTACTTTGATACCTATGTGTCTAGTAATAAAAAATACACTATATGCACTCCCAAAGTGTGTTAGTGTTCCTTTTTAAGTATGCTGATATCTTAAGCAGTGAGTGATTATTTCAGGGCCCCATTTTTGTTTTTGTCTAGATGGGGCAAGCAAATTTTAGGGGGAAATTTTTCAGTTTGTCTACGAGTCTAATTAGAGATCGTGGAGTTGTAAGGAGTTTTTATCATGCCTGCAATGTGGACATTTAAGTATGCAGAAAGCTAGACTGCCACCTTGAATCCATCTGGAATTTGATCCTAGGTTCATACCAGTATTTCTAGGTTCATATAATCTTATTACAGAGACATCAAGCAGAGTAACTGCTAAAAAACAGACTACAAGTTGGAGAGATATTATATTGGGTCTACACCTCCTAGGAACTATGTCGAGAATCTGCAGCCAATTTTCATTTCTTTTGCTCCACTTAGGGGACAGAATATGGCCTAAATAAATTTATATTATGTACATGGTATCCAACCAATTTTTCTTTTTTAAAAACAAAAAGCAAAACAAACAAACAAAAACTGTACTTCCAGCACTAGACTGACACTTACCAAATTAGGCAAAATATACTAACTTGTTCATTTGCATGTGCCCTATAGAGTTCATGAATATCAAAATCTTCAAGATTAAGATGCAACTTCTCTTTACACAGCTCACAAGTAGTTACTGCTTCCAAAGAAGAACCTGATGGAAACAAAACAAGAGAGTCAGATCATATATTCAAGGCCAGATGTTATGGTCTAAGTGATTGACTCAAGTTTATTTTACATAGCAAGATTAAACAAAAAGGAAGTATGACAGCAATAGTGTTGAAGTCACTGTAGGGAATATCTGTTACAGGGTTACGGTTAACAATAGACTTTTTTCTTTTGTCAAAGTTTACTTGTTTTATTTTTATATGCCTCTTATGACAGTTCAGCAAAAACCCCAAACCAATTTTAATCTCAATGCCATCCACATATATAGACAAACTCTTAAGTGCTTAAGTTTTTTAATGAACAGATTTTTTTGGACCGCAATACATCTTTTAAAGATGCAGACAGTCCCATTTTCTGAAAGATTTCCCAAATTTTCACTTTCATGTGCTCTGCAGCTAAACAATTAGTTTAAAACTATAGCTATTCTGAAAATTGTTAGTATTCCTTAAAACAAGGCATTCATTTGAGCAGATCTGATATCACTAAGGAATGCTAGGGTTCCACAATACTTATAACTCTGCCATATTGTGCCTTGTTATAAAGTCATTATAATTTAAAAATTATAGAATCATAGAAGATTGGGCTTGGAAGAGACTTCAGGAGGTCATCTAGTTCAAACCCCTGCTCAAATTAGAACCAACCCCAACTAAATCATCCCAGCCAGGGTTTTGTCAAGCCGAGCCTTTAAAACCTCTAAGGATGGAAATTCCACCACCTCCCTAGGTAACCCATTCCCAAGTTACACCACCCTCCTAGAGAAATACTGTTTCCTAATATCCAACTTAGACCTCCCCCACAACAACTTGAGACCATTGCTCCTTGTTCTGTCATCTACCACCACTGAGAACAGCCTAGCCCCAACCTCTATGGAACCCCCCTTCAGGTAGTTGAAGGCTGCTATCAAATCCCCCCTCACTCTTCTCTTCTGCAGACTAAATAACCCCAGTTCCCTCAGCCTCTCCTCATAAGTCATGTGCCCCACCCCTCTAATCATTTTTGTTGCCCTCCACTGGACTCTCTCCAATTTGTCCACATCCTTTCTGTAATGTGGGGCCCAAAACTGGACACAGTACTCCAGATGTGGCCTCACCAGTGCTGAACAGAGGGGAATAATCATTTCTCTATCTGTTGACAACGCTCCTACTAATGCAGCCCAATATGCCATTAGCCTTCTTGGCAACAAAGGCACACTGTTGACTCATATCCAGCTTCTCATCCACTGTAATCCCCACGTCCTTTTCCGCAGAACTGCTGCTTAACCAGTCAATCCCCAGCCTGTAGCAGTGCATGGGATTCTTCCATCCTAAGTGCAGGACTCTGCACTTGTCCTTGTTGAACCTCAGATTTCTTTTTGCCCAATCCTCCAATTTGTCTAGGTAACTCCAGACCCTATCCCTACCCTCCATCGTATCTACCTCTCCCCCCATACAACTGAAGAAAGGATCAAAATGTAAGGTATTTTAACAAAGAAAAAATACATCGTAGAGTAGTTATACCATCTTACTAGTAAATCCAAGCAACACCAGAAACTGAATCAGAAATCCCCAAGCATTTTGGGATACTTTGAAAATTACATGTATAAAAGACAAAGTAGGATTGCCAGGTATACCTTTCAGAATTTCCATGCTTCTCTTGGTTTGTCTCCAACTGTTTTGCATAATTAACAAATCAAATGACGTCCCAAGATTGTATGATTTTTACTGCAATAGTTAGTCATTCCAACAACATATCTTTCATTTAATCAGGAAAATAACTTGTTCTAAAAAGGTCTACCTTACCAGAATTAATCTTGGACTGCAGCCATTTTTTCATGCATTCCTGATGAACATATTGCAGACTTCCAGTACATTTGCATGGCTCTATTAGGAGGTTGGTAGAAGATGCAGATGACATCTGGCAAATTCTACATAGATCACCTTCCTCCTCTTCAGTGTCCTCTGACAGGAGGCTGAGTAGGAAGAAAGCAATTTTTTCAAACAGAGGTGAAAGCTACACGTATATGGCATTTTTTCCAAACTTTAATTCCTTTGACAAATAGTTCTCAAACCTGAAAAAGGAGTTTAGAACAAGTTTGTCTGAAGATAAGTGACATTGTAGGTGCCACAGAATTGAACTGCAACAATCTCAAAATAAGAGGCCCCTTTAAATAACTTTAAAGAAAAGTCTCATTAAGTCTATTAACCCATTCAGATATGTTTTATTTACTGGGAATATCATATTGATTTACCTCTCTTTAATTTTCTGGAGTCTTTCAGGGTCTCTTGAAGGTAATATTTTAGACTTGTCACTTTCTTCTCCATCAGGTTGATTCCAACCTGAGGGAATAATATCTACTGTTATCATCACATTGTCAGATATGCTGCTCCCTAATGCTGGGGGCACTGCAAACCGGAATAAAGAGCCGGGAAGAATTCCTGATATTCCAGAACTACTTCTACTGTGAGCTGAATCTGGTGTGGAAGCAGTAGTTGTAGGACTGCTAGATACTGCTGGTGTTGGTGGTCTGTTGGCAGCAGTCCTAGGGGAGCTGCTCTGTGCTTCAAGAGGAGTCTCTTCGCTAGACTCTCTTCTCCTAAAGAGGTGTAGTGATCTAGCAGGTGTTTCAGAGGTAGAGGTTCTTGCAGATTCATCTCTTCCTTCTCGCCTTCTTCTGGAGAACAGAGGTGTACATCTATTTCTTAGAGATGACGATAACCAGGATCCTGTATTTCTACTTTCAGGCTCTTGTCTGTAACTTTCAGCATCTGAATCAGAACTATGATTCTGTGAAACACCTGATAAGCCCCATCTTCGTCTCAGAAAGCTAAATCCCTGAGAAGCTTCAGGTGTCTGAAGGCCTGGAACTTCAGGACGTGCAGTTGCATTAGTGCTAGATTGGGTAGAAGTTTGAACTCTTGGGACAACACATGAATCTTCAGAATCTGATGATCTTGCATTTAATGAGTCTTGGCTAGACCTCCGTGAGAAAAATGTAGATGACATACTAGAAGCTAAACGAGATAGTAATTGTCTAGTTGTACGCCTTCCTTCAGTATCTGCTGGAGGCTCACTGAGTGACCTTTGAGACGCAACCCTTTCAGTGCTGCTTGTGGAGGGAATTTCATCTCTAATGGCAATGTGGGTAAACTCTGGCTGTATATTCCTTTGAGACGATTCCATTTCCCTTGTAGAATAGTTAGATCTTGAAGAGCTCCTGCTAGAGACTCCAGAGAATAAAGATGAATCATGTTCAGAAGGCAACTGGCGGTTCATGGATGTATTCAGCCTCAAAGTGCTCAATGAATTATCTTTTGGTCTTGCTCCCTGTGCATATGAAGAGGCAGGTCTATCCTGAAGATCTACAATGGAAGAATTGGAGAAAGAGACAAAATGTACACAGTCATTTAAAAGTTATCCAACTGAATTACAGTGAGTCTAGGGTTATGTTGTACTCACTTTTAAAGACTTTAAAAGTTGGCAAGCTAGGTTGTAGACAGTCTAAATTGAGTATTGTTCTCTTAGTGAACAGGATTACATTAAGTAGATTCCAGATAAACTGAAAACAGTTTATTAAATCAATAGCAGATGCACATATCCCACAATTCTCATCTGTATTTTATTCAAACTACAACCTTATGATTCAGCATTCCTTGTATGGAGGGATCAAATTAATGAACATTAAAATAATATCTGTCAACTGACATTATGTAAGCACAATACTTATATTTAATAGAAAACTGCATATATAAACAGTATTCTACTAAATACCTGTTCTTCAATCTCTAACCAGTTTGGGTTTTTTTAAGTAAATATTCAGATCAGTCTAATAATTTCAGAGACAAATATAACAGTCATTAAAATATGTCTAGAATGCAAGATGTATAGATAAAGCATATTTCCTCCTCTCTCAAAATAAAGGCATTCTGATATAGTTACAGTATTAAAAAAAGGAGTTTAACAGCTTTGTAGAATACTTAATCCCAACTACATGTGAAAACAAGAGACAACAGAAACTGTAGTTTTAAAAACTACTTAAAGGTTATGTGGCCGCTACTGACTAAGTTTAGTAGTAGTAACTTCAGTTAGAGATCTTAAAATGTACTACAACTTCAATATGAATGATAATCAGATGCAGTGAAAAGAGAGAGCATCTTGTTTAACTAAATGCTCAAATGTCTCCAATACAGTTAAAAAAAAATGCAACAAACCACAATTTCAATAATCCCTCAGTAAAAAAATTAGTTATACTAAGAGTAACTGTTAACTAGCAAGTATATTACCTACACTGACTTTCATTAACAACTCTGACTCTTCAGAATCTATTACACTGTTCAATGGCTCAACCATCCAATTGGCTCAGACAGGATCATATGACTAATCATTTAGTATTATTGCTCTCAGTTGCTCAGTTTGCTATCCAGATGTCAATTGGCTTAAAACAGCCATATGATCCAGCCAGCCAATTAAAATGTTATTCTTGAGTCCTCTAATTTGCTTGCCCCTCCCTCCCTTTTACCCC